TAGGCCCCGCCCTCCATTAAGCTTTTTTTTCTATCCGTGAAGATATGTGTTCTGTGCAAAAATTGGAATGCGCACACATTGCCATATCTGCCAAAAAAATGAAGCCATAAAAGACAGATGCCACAAAGGGGAATGTTGTTTTTTTCTGTTGCTCGCTGACATATGACGTTTTGGAAAGTTTTGCCATATTTACCTTCACAGGTTTCAACAATTGGAATACGTGTTGGAAGAAATTTTCGCCATTTAACATAATGAGTGCGACAAAAACAGGTATCCCCTCCGCAGCAGCGGCACTAGGCTTCAGCGGCTTCACGTTCATCAATATGTGTGCGCATTCCAGCCTTCTTGATCCTTGAGTATCCCAGAATTTGATGGTGGGAAAGTTAGGGGAGTATGACACAATTGACACGTCACATAATCCTGCGATAGGATTGGAGAGGGTCGCACACAAGGAGAATACACACTCTAAGGAGTGCTTATCGGTCTCGTTTTTGATAATTGCCGCCGTATTGGTGTGATACCATTTCCGTCGTCATCAGCGGTTTAAACAGCCTACGCCAAGGCGAGAAATAACATGCTGCCTACGTCACAACTGGTATTTTGACGCGGGGTGAAAGGGGGGGATTTGTTACACACAGGCCTTATGATAGGCCATCCTATAGTAGTAGTGTGTATCATCCTTGAGTCGCACCCCCTCATGGGTACCAATATCCTTGGTACACACTACTACTAGAGGATAGCCTATCCTCATAAGGCCATTGTAGAACAAATCTGAAACCCCCCACCCCCATCTCGCCAAATCAACAGCTGTAACGTAGGCAGCATGTCGTTTCTCATTGCGTTTCTCGCCTTGACGTAGGCTGTTTGCACCACAGGTTATGATTCCGCGGGTTTTTGCTTTATGCATACTTGGTTTTACTACAGTAATTATAGTTATTAACAGTGGCGTACCCAAGGGGGGGTTTTGGGGGTTAAACCCCCCCCCCCGAAATTTAGCACTGGTACAAAGAATTTTCCGGTAAAAATAATTTTTTTTGCGATTTTTGTTAATAGGTACCTACAAAACAAACTTTCCATTTTACATACAATGCACCCCTAAAAGGTTTTGCCTCCGACAGCGATTTGATTTAAGACTGGTTAATTCATCTTTCGATAAACTTGCTGGTAACTATCTGCAAGATAAATTCACCGTTCTATAATTCTATTTTGGTCGGCGAATAACTGGACGACCAATGGGATTACAGTTTACGTTTTTAACCGCCCCGCCAGATTGCATACCTGACAGTTTATCAGAAGGTGAAATAACCGGGCCCTTAGTTGAGTGTATAGCGAGGTAAACACATTAACTTATGCGTTACAAAAAGTTATTTTTTGAAGGCTTAAAATAAACGTTTTTGGGCGTGACACCCGAAAAAAAAAAATCCTATGACAGCCTGTCTACGGCAGCGCCTCCATCATTATGAAAACCCCCCCCCCCCAAATAAAAAACCTGGGTGCGCCACTGGTTATTAATGATACCAATTCGATATGAACATCATAATGAAACGCGTGTAACAGTGTAACGTTAAACCACAAGGCGTTAGCCGAGTGGTTTAGTTACCCAAGTTTCATTAATAAAGTTCATATCGAACGTGATCATTCAAAATCTAATCTACAATGGTCTAAATAGATTTGATTTGCTTTGAAATAGCAAAAACTTCTCAAAATAAAATTCAAAATTTAGCAAGTGCCCGTACTAGTCAGGAGCCTGCTTGTTAATTTTTAAAATTTTGACTTTGGCAGCTTCAATATTGGAGTCTATTTTTGTGCCGTAAATTCAGTTTCATTGTGGAAAATAACATTAGGTCTGTTTCTGCAGAAATCACAAACTAGTCAGTCAGAGCGAATTTCATTGGTTGAAAACAGTCAGAAACAGTCAGAAAATTAGTTTCAACCAATGAAATTCACTCTGACTGGTTTGTGATTTCTGCAGAAACAGACCTATTAATATTGGTGATTCTGAGTTCGAAAGTGTTACCCTTCATATATCGAGACAGCATCAATGAAAAGGTTCTTCTAGTAACTAACTTTTTTTTGTATATTTTTCATTTCATAATTTGAGTGTTTTTATGAATTCTTAGGGCGGGTATTATAAAACTGCTTTTTTGACAGTTAACTTGAAGTTAACTTTTTGAATTACATGTAATTCCAAAAGTTAACTTTAAGTTAACTCTCAAGTAGTTTTATAATACCCGCCCTTAAACGCAATAGCCCTTTTCACGTGGCTCCGGTTTAACAAACCGCAACATACCGCTCAAATTCGAGTGGTATCGAAGAAGTCAGTTTGTAACCGGGTTAGAAAACGGTATTTCATTTCTTTAACCGCCTCGACGATATGGTATATGGTTACGTCGAGCGGTTAGAAGAAAAAAATATAAACAACGGAGAGCGGGAAAGTTCGGAAAAGTATAAAAACTAAATAAAAAGTTGTGTTTTGTATTATCATATTTTATGAATTTGAAGCCCGAAAGCCGTTTTCCCTTGTATACAGCCTGATCGTAGCCCGTGCATTAGAAATTGTTCAGTTTGCAGGTGGATTAGCATTAATACCACCTTATCTACCTGCTTATGCACGTACTACGTAAATCACCCTGTATTATATACTCAAAAAAGTACCAGAGACAATCCCAGTTTACCTACTTGATGGGCTGTTGTAGACTGTAGGTAACGAGAACTTATAAACTTTAGATAAACTGGTTCTAGTAGGTCTATCCACCCATGGTCCACGTCTTAAGCATTGAACGAAAAGAAATTAAACTACCTACTTTTCACTTTTTAGCTTGCTGTAATAAAAAGGAATGAAATACTGGATAATTCCACAATTTTGAAAAAAAACTTGCTTCCCATATTCGTTCACATATTAATTAATTGTGAATTGCTCACATCTAAGATATGTTTGTCAGTAGTAGACATAATTGGTAGGTCAGATTTAACAGCACTGGCGAAAATATTGAAAAATCAAAAATTAAAAACAGAAAACAAGTCAAACACCTATGCCTAATCTCAAATCGAATTTAAAATTACATTTTTCTAACCGTTCGTTTTCAAGTGGCATTTTCAGTGATGTCATCACTTGACATACCGACTATTACCGACCCTAACTGTTTTGTAACCCGGTTAGTACAAACCGGAACTACGTGAAAAGGTGTATTAGTGCTATCTGTTTCTGCAGAAATCACAAACCATTTTTATTGGTTGAAAACAGTCGGAAACAGTCAGAAAACTAGTTTCAGCCAATGAAATTCACTCCTACTGGTTTGTGATTTCTGCAGAAACAGACCTATTATGAAGGTCCTAATGACATTCAAATGACAATGCTAAATGTGTCATAATGGGTACATTCAGGCGGTCCCAGCGGCTTAAGCCTAGTACTCATAACTGCGAAATTCGTATTTTTTTGACATTGCGTTGACAATTTGACGTTTGATACACGCATTAAACGTCAAATTGTCAACGCAATGTCAAAAAAATGCGAATTTCGCAGTTATGAGTACTAGGCTTTAGTTCAGCCCAATGAACTTGGAATGCGCACACATTGCCATATCTGCCAGTAAAATGAAGCCATGAAAGAAAGATGCCACAAAGGGGAATGTTGTTTTTTTCTGTTGCTCGCTGACATATGACGTTTTCGATAGTTTTGTCATATTTACCTTCACAGGTTTCATTAATTGGAATACGTGTTGGAAGCAATTTTCGCTATTTAACATATTGAGTGCGACAAAAACAGGTATCCCCTCCGCAGCAGCGGCACTAGGCTTCACGTTCGTCAATATGTGTGCGCATTCCAGTTTTTGGTTATAGTTCATTGGTTCAGCCACTCAGCCGGAACTATATTCTCGAAACAGGGTAGCATTCTTATTGGAACGAAGGTTCCGTCTTTGTCGTCCGGCATAACACTGACAATGACATCTTTCTATTTGCCTTATGCTAATCAAAATTAAATAACATTTTCCATCATTTTCAATTCTAAGCTACGACCGTTGGCGCAAACAGCTGACGTCGCTGACGACTTAGTTAATGACGTCGGTAATGGTGATACACCAATAGTTGTATTCCTTTCACACCTAGGAGGAGCTCCGGAACAGCTCCGGGGCTTCACGCGCTTATTCCTTTCGAAAAGTGTTTGTTGCACCACGCATCTGTTCCCTGCAAATCGGGGGCTTCTAAACACCGGAGCGAGTAGCTCGAGTGTTTCAAACTCTTGAAAGGAATACAACTTATGGCGGCGATTACCAAAAACGATACCGATAGGCAATAGTAGTTGTATTCCTTTCACACCTAGGAGGAGCTCCGGAACAGCTCTGGGGCTTCACGCACTTATTCCTTTCGAAAAGTGTTTGTTGCACCACGCATATGTTCCCTGCAAATCGGGGGCGACTAAGCACCGAAGCGGGTAGCTCAAGTGTTTCAAGCTCTTGAAAGGAATACAACTAGTGTGTATGGGTTCGTCCGTGATCATCATTCATCGATTGCCAAGGGGTGCGTTCAAGGACGGCAATGCTAATGCCAAAACCTACTTTTCCTCCTCCACCGGTAATGCTGAACCACGTAGTTTGGAGCCGAACTCGAAGGCAAAATGCCAATTTTGGCTTGGCGGTAGCCAATCCTGAACGCAGCCATGGAGAACCTGTCATTTGTCAATCTGTAACCTGTCGCAAATGTCAGATTCATCAATAAAAATAGGCGATTTCGGCAAGCTTTGGTACATGGTTTGGTACCCTGTTTGGTCTGTCAAATGCATACCAACCAATTTCCGATACGAAAATGATGTCGTCACCGTGACTTTGGTATCCTTTTTGGTCTGTCAAATAGGATACCGTGGTCAGCAGCACGGTTCTTCTATTTGGTATAGCGCTATCTACGTCTATTTTCGTGTTGTCCTGCTCTGGGAAATGTAAATAAATGGAAGTTCATTAGAATTTGAATAATAATTTGAAATTTTTAGTAAATATGTTTGTTTTTTCGCCTTCATCTTCCTGTTTTCTCGTATGTTTTGACTGCCAAATAATGTTTGACTATCATTTAAAAAATAACTTTGAACGACAGATATGGGGTAATTTTTTTGCTGAATGGATTATGGAATATGCTTTAAATTTACAGAAAACGCTGAGTTAGCCAGGTTACTCAAAGGTACTGTTTAGACAGTGCTGATTAGTGATTATAGATTTTAGTCAGTGCAGTCAGTACCTAGTCACTCCCAAAACTAGAAGAACAACACAAAGTTAGGTTAAGGCTCGTCTCTTCCTCTCTCATGACCTACCAAACGAATTCGGAACAAAATGGTATCTTACGTCATTACTATGACGTTGCAGGTACCAATTGGTTAACCAAATGGTATACCAACCAAAGCTTGCCGAAATCGCCTATGAAAAAGGGAATTATTGTTTGTTTACTAACAGGTTATTGCTAGTTTTAAATAGATATTACTAATAATGTAAGAACTTTCTGTTTTTAAAGAATTTATTATAAAGGTCTAAAGTTATGGGAAAAGGATTTTGAAACCGAAGAATATTTTCTCAATTGTCCTAATCCTAATTGTTATAATACAATCAAAAACAATTAATTTAATTGTTTTGGTAATTAAGCTTTTCTTTGCAATGTATTTATATTTAAATAGCTATCTATTTAAAAATACCACCGAGCCGGCTAATTATTTTCGAGGCGTTAGTGAGGCAAAAATGTGCAATTTCCTACAAATCAATAATCTAGCATAGGCCAGCCAATGGGCATGTGCAGTATTCAGTGTTTCAACCCCCACGAAATCCGCTTTATCCACCCTAGATTTTAATGATATATCAAGTGTTGAAATCAATAAAAGGGTAAAATCCAATCTATAGAGTGCAATGTCCATCTGGAAAAAGTTAGAACCAAATATAGATTACCCTGTTGGTGTAAAATACCAAAGTAATAAGCTCTGAGTGTGGAAGAATTGGATACCAAGGAAGGCCAAAGTTGCATTCACCATGCAAACTCTAAGGAAAAAAACAAGTCCATTGAAATGTAAGTGTTTTTCTATTTTTAGCTATGTTTTTCGTTTACTGAAGCATTAAAAATTAATTGAAAATTCCAATATAGTTACCTACTACATAAGGTATTAGATTACCTTGAGAGTATGGAAATAAATAGAAGAAAAAGTCTGGTTACCTCAAGGGTTACCTATATTATTGAATGAACAATTGGATAACAATTATTCCCCATTGTTGAGTTTATATGCATGATTAACATATTTTTTATCCCATATTATTGTTGTTTATTATAAGATCTTTGAGTACCTACTTTTTAATAATAATAATAATAATAATAATAATAATCTTCATTAATAGCATAAGCTAAAAAATAGTAGATTATACCACGAGTCAATAATGATAGCTATTATTCCCGAGGATTATTACGAACTGAGCCGCGTTAGCGGCGAGGGAGTAACATTCCGAGGGAATAATAGCCATTATTGCGAGTAGTATACAGTATACTCTACTTTATTTACGACAAATTAATTTATTTGAGATTTTCAATGAACAAATTTCATCCGTCTCATAATTTTCAATACAAATCCACAAGCACTACACGTTTGACACTGACACTTTTGTGGAATAATTTATTTATTTATTTATTTATTAACGGGCCTTACCCACTTTTAGTACAAAAATTTAACAAATTTTAACAAAATTAACCTAAATAGACTAGAAACTCAAATTACTTGATCTGATGAAACTAAGTACCTACATTATAACTAAAAACCAAAACAGAAATTAAGATATATCTCGAGATATATTTTTATCATTACCTATTAAACATAACATGGAATAAATATATTTATATTTAACCCTCATAACATATATATGAAATCAAAGATTAAAGAATAGAAAGAAAGAGAGAAAAAAAACAAAAAAAATCTTTTAACTTAAATATGTTTCAAATATGTTTTAAATAGCTCACAAAAGTACCAAAGCTGGAATGGAAAAAATCGATGCTGCCAGAATGAGAATTAGCCATTTTTGCCACGCGTGGTATGAAAGAATTAGATCCAACATTAGTTCGCCTGAAGGGCTGCTGGAATATATTTGTTGATCTAGTATTTCTAGGTGGAACCGAAAGAACCACCGATGAGATCAAAAGAGGACAGTCAACCATATAGTTCATAAGCTTAAAGAATAGTTTGAGATCTACCTGATCTCTTCTAACCTTCAATGTTGGAAGCGCAAATCTCTCTTGAAGCATTTTAAAATCATAGCTGTAATCATCGCGGGAAGGAATATTTGATTTATAAGCCAAGTACCTGAGAAATTTCCTTTGAACTTGCTCAATCCTGTGTATATGGGATGCGTAATGGGGGTTCCACACAGTTGAACAGTATTCTAGTAAAGGCCTTACTAGGCTACAATACAAAAGTCTAATGGCAGAAGTACTTGTAAAATCAGATGTAGTTCTTTTGATGAACCCGAGCATACTTAGTGCTCTTGAAACTATGGTATCAATATGATTGACAAATGATAGTGCCGAATCCATAGTTACTCCCAGGTCACGAATGGTTGAAACCTGGGATAACAGTGAGCCTTTTATGCTATAGTTAAATTGAGTTTTGGTACGTTTTTTGGTAAAGCATATAAAGTTACACTTTGAGATATTTAAATCCATCGCATTTAGGTCACACCATTCAGCCAATCTATCCAGATCAGACTGAAGTTTCTGACAATAATCCAATGATGAAATGGAAATATAGCACTTCAAGTCGTCAGCAAAACATAAAAATTTAGAAAATTTGAAACATTTTGCGATGTCATTAACAAATAATATAAACAATAGAGGTCCCAAATGGGACCCCTGCGGGACTCCAGAGGGGTTGGGAAAATTTTTAGAGGTGAAATTATTTAGTTTGACAGCTTGATATCTATCTGTGAGGTAGCTTGCTAGCCATTCCAACAAGGTCCCTTGAAGACCGGCCGCCTTCAGTTTTCCAAGTAATATCTCATGATTGACCCAGTCGAACGCCTTGGAGAAGTCAGTGTAGATAGCGTGAATTTCCCCTCCCTCATCCAAGACGTCTGACAGGAAATCAGCAAAGGAAATTAAGTTCAATTCTGTGGATCTTTTGCTGTAAAAGCCAAACTCTTCATCAATAATAGTCAAACTCAATACAGATCTTAAATAATCAGCAACAATTTTTTCAAAAAGTTTCGGAATACAGCTTAGGCTACATATAGGTCTATAGTTGCAGATATCTGCTTTATTTCCTGTTTTAAAAATGGGTTTAAGGTAGCTTAACTTCCAGAAGTCTGGAAATATGCCCGAAGAAAGTGATTTATTGAAATGATGAAAAATGGACGAGTCAGAGGAAAGCTACAAGTTTTCAAAACCACGGGCGGAATACCATCAGGCCCAGGGCCCTTATTTATGTTGATCTTAGTCATTTCCTCATAAATAGTTGATATGGGTATTGTATAGTCAGATAAACAGATATGATTGAATGAGGCAACATTTTGCTGAGCAACTGTTTTCTTAGTGTAGACAGATTGGAAATATTCGGCAAAAAGATCAGGTAGATCAGGTCCAAGTTGACACTGGTTATCTTTAAAAAACATTAGGGGTGGAAGCTCGTTTCCACTTCTTTTACTTTTTACAAAATTCCAAAACTGCTTAATATTTCAATTATCAGTTAAACTGAGCTGGGATTTTTCAACATATTGAAGGTAACAAGTTTGGGTTAAGGCTCGGGTTAAGGTTTTACATTCTGTTCTAAGCCTACTGAAATTTAAATAATGGATCCTATCTCCTGAGTTTTTGTACAATTTGTGAGCCATCTTTTTTTGTATTATCAGTTGTTTTAACTCTGGTGAAAACCAGGAAGGGAATTTATGTTTGGACACCTTTTTTTGTGGCACAAGTGCCTGAATAAAAAAATATAAAATATCATAGAAAATATTTACCATATCATTTACTGAGTAATCATGGGATAACAGTATGTCATCCCAGTTTAATTGACCCAAACAGTCATTCAACAGTGTCAAATCAGCTGATTTAAAATCATAATAGAAGTTATCACCATGAGGAACACTACAAGAGTTAGTATGATTTGCACCGCCCCGAATCTGGAATGTCAATGGTGGATGATAGTCATCAGCCGGCACCAATGCGTCATCACATACGGACACTAAGGTAGTTTCATTGGCAGTCAATATCAGATCTAACGTCTTGCCATTGTGGTTTGGGATATTGTTTACCTGGTATAAATTGTGAAATGCACATGAGTCAGACATTAATGAGACAACATCTCCAAACTGATTGCGCTCACCATCAGCCACCAATGGAACTGAACAATATTCATCTGCAGACCAGGTACAGTATGGCATATTAAAGTCTCCACAGATATATACTGGTACTCTATGCATCTGCAAGACCGAATCCAATGTTGAACAAAAGCTCTGGTATTTATTTGACGGGGAACGAGGTGGTATATAAGCTGCAGACACTATGACTGAATCGGAGCCAGAACCGATCAAAACAAATAACTGTTCAACATCATTGGGAGAGTGCAGCATGGAGCTTTTCAATTTTTTTGATACTGCTATAAGGACACCTCCCCCTCTGAGGGCACTGCTTGAGTTTTTGTTCCTGTCGCATCGGTAAATATTGTAGTCAAACAATCCCAACTCACAGTCATTGACATCACTTGTTAGCCAGGTTTCAGTCAAAATAATTACAGAATACCAGTTGGCAGCAACATTGGTTTGTAGAATTTTTAATTTAGTATTCAAACCTCGAACATTTTGATAAAAAGCATCAAGATACTTCTGAGATGTGTGATTTGAATTGTTTTTGCATAGAGAAGGCCCTACTTCGTGTTTTTTCCCAAAGCAATGCTCGGAATACGGTTTTGATATCTTATGACTACATTCTCTCCATTAGCTTTACGTGTTCGAAATTCAGTTTGTAACAATGGGCTCTTTCACTAAAATTTAAATACATAATTTAAGTATAAAATCTCAAAGGAGGGACTATTTTAGGCATATATACCAAAAAAAAAAATGTTCTACAAGGTTCAATAAGTTTTTCATAGGCAATCAAAAGTGCCTAAATTCAAACTATTTTAAAACGCGCCGATTTGCCGACGTCACATAAATATTCTTCATTTCGCTTATGTCGTTGCAAGGAGGAAGGGCTCGGCTGTGTTTGCGCTCTGTAAAGATACGTAAAGGTTCGAATGCGCTGTTGTCGGTTGTGACTAAATGTAGTGCAGCGTAAAATAAATAAATAAAACTAAACATAAAAAATTGCATTAAATTGTATTTAAGCATAATTTAAAAAAAAAATGTTATAAAATCTTGAATCTATAACTAATTAATTTAACTACTTTTCATGAGATTTTGCCAACATTTCAGAATTAAATCTATTACAAATTTTCAATGTTGACAATTAGTGGCAACACGGTCAAATTGCGAGCTGCGACGTCATAGAAATAAATTCTGGGTTTTTATTTGGAGGTATTTCTTTGTTTTCTGTTTTCTCAAGAAGGACTTTGAATTTTTCAAAAGTAAAAATACAGAAAATTCTGTTTTTAGTTGCTTTATCCAAATATGCCAATTTCAAAAATTAGTGAAAGAGCCCATTGTCAGGTCAAAGCTTATGAACACTTTTTCATCTTTAAGTTTGTGACCACACTTAATCAACTTTTGAACTTCAGCTGGTGATTCTAAGGTCAATCTTAAAGCTCTGAAGTTATTTTTATTAGGCTTACCCATTCTCAAGGTTTGAAGTACACGAGGTTGAGGAGAGTTTGTATCTGACAAAATAGAAATAATTTTTTTGACTTGATCGGAATCCGGTTCAGAATCATTTCCTTCGGGAACATTAAATATCATCAAATTGTTGGCACGATTTTGGCGCTCCTGTAGCTCCACAAAAATATCTGCCTCATTGTAGTTTAATACTGGAGTGTTGGAGGGGACAGGTATGTTGGGTGGAGTTTGCATCACTGGGGTCTTTTTAAGATCATCAATCTCTTGTCGTAGTTCCTCCACAGCCTTTATTAGCGTTGGTACCATTTTCAGCCCACTTAGGCACTCTGGGCAAAAAAAATTCAACTGACGAGCACCCTTCAGTTCCATTACTTTAATTTCTGAAGCATTGAGTCCTGAGCATACCTTCTTGTGGAACAATCGGGAGCAACTGTCGCAGGAAACCGAATCCAAAGCTGTTATAACTAATTTACATTCACTGCATAAATCCGACATTTTCAGGTTAGATTCAGTTTATTTAATTTTCACAGTTAATTCTTGACTAATCAGTTCACTAACAATTGCACAGCCTACGGATCTCACAAACAGCAGTTCCATTCGATAACATAATAAAAAAAATTCAATATTGTGAGTGTAATTTGCATTTAACAAAAATAAACAAAAATAAACATACGTCTATTTTGAGGTTACGATAACAAACGTAATGACCATTAATCCCGCTACTCGTCATTAATCCCTGGAGGAATAACATATGTCATTATACTGCCAAAATCACAAATATAATACGCACATTATACATTAGTCGTAAATAATAGTAGATTATACCACGAGTCAATAATGATAGCTATTATTCCCGAGGATTATTACGAACTGAGCCGCGTTAGCGGCGATGAAGTAACATTCCGAGGGAATAATAGCCATTATTGCGAGTAGTATACTCTACTTTATTTACGACAAATTAACTTATTTGAGATTTTCATTTTTCAATGAATAAATTTCATCCGTCTCATAATTTTCAATACAAATCCACAAGCACTACACGTTTGACACTGACACTTTTGTGGAATAATAACCATTAATCCCGCTACTCGTCATTAATCCCTGGAGGAATAACATATGTCATTATACTGCCAAAATCACAAATATAATACGCACATTATACATTAGTCGTAAATAAAATACATTATAACAGGTACAACAAAACTCATGGTTCTCTACCTCGTTCTCTACTATACAGGGTGATTGATGTTCGATGTTGGAATGTTGGATGTTTTTGAAAATTTGCATGCCCAAGTAATTGCTCCTGATCTATCATTCTAACTAAAATAATTTAATTTTCAACAATGCGACGTTGCCGCTTATACCAAAAAGTAATATGAACTTTGATATTTAAAATGAGACCCTGTATTGTCTGCCCAGCGGTTCTGAGTCTACAGAAGGAATTCGGACGTAAATGTGTGATGCTGTCGCATTTACTTATACAAAAGCAAAAATACTAGGTATGAAGTTATAGTTCATGTGAAAATCCATTTTTTAATAAAAAAATATGGATAACAATAATGAAACACTAAACATTCTAACGTGGTTGTGAGATCTATTCTTATTTTAATAACTGATTTCTTCAATTTTGTCTAATATAAAAAATGAATATTTTCCAAAGATACCATCAGCTTTTGTCAATTTGGCAAGCATCCAGCCAGCCTGGATGAACCTGATTGGTGGAGTTTTTGGCAGAATCGCCGTTGCCACAGGGAACCATGCGGTTGTCAGTGGACTAACGTCACCTTACGTCTCGCTATTGGACAGGGCTCCCATCTTGGAATATCGATTTATATTGAAATATCCAGTGGCGGGGATTTGGTCATTGTCAATTTTCAGGTACGAGTTGCAATACGATAACACTTCCAAAAAATTCCGCACGCAGCTGGGTATTTTATGAATGAAATCGGCCATTTTTTTTACAACTGCATTCCCTCACCGTTGCCCCGTAGACACAGAGTCGCTGGGCAGACATTATATTATTGCATTTTTCGCTTCACTATTACTTTCTGATCATTTTTGTATAATACTGTCCTATACCTATCTCTAGTGATTTTGAGCTTATTAATTAATTTCTTTATTTTTTTCTTCTAAACATACCTCTAGTTAAATTTGTATTACTACGTCCCTGAGATTCGTAGAAAGTTTAAATTTTGGAGATAACTTAGGGAAGTCCTGCATATTACTTTTGAACAAGAAAATTTGTTCTACATTCAAATCAAATCAAAATAAGCTTTATTGTCCAGAAATATGTTATCTCTCTGACAAAGCAATTTCCTTATTCTAGAATTACACTACATGTCATAATCTTATTAAAGAATAAAAAAGCAGAAATAAAATGACAAAAATTAACTAAATTCACAAAAATCTTTATCCAATCACTATGCATGGTGCGGACATGTAGTAAGTTTAGATTTAAATTTAAAATTCAGTGTCGTAATACTCAGCGATGCTGTAGAGGGCTCTAGGCACCAAAAGGCTTTTCACAGAATTTCGAAACATTCTATAATTTTGAATATTTTTTAACTCTCCTGGTAAATGATTGTATAATTTAATGCTTTCATAAATCACCGAACTTTTTGTTAAGGAAGACTTTGGGATTGGAAGCGGAAGATTATTGTGTCTAAGGTCATAATTTCCTTCTTGAGTGATTCCAGAATATTTTCTAAGTTTTCAGAGACAGCGCACTGCTTGCTTCTGGAGAACAAAAACTGAGTGGACCGATTTCTGGGTGAAATATCCCCAAAAAGCAATAGACCTATCTATTTTTACCTGTGTGCGCGCGCAACACGAGGCAATGCATTTTTATTGGCTAACTAGTACAGGTGCGAGGTGTTCGTTTTGCACGCTGGGCATCTCCTTGTCCTTGTTCATTGCCCGTGGTCTGACAAGGATAAAATTATGCTTGATATTCAACTTGACGTAGCTTGACAAGTGATTGAAGTGATCGATTTTCGTTTGTTTGTGTTTTCGATTGACAAATACGTTGCACGTCACGCGGTTTTCCTTCTTCCTTTTTTATCCCGTGCAAATAATAAGAACGGATTGCTATACGTAAGTCTAACATAATTTGGTACGTTTTGCCTCGTCTTGCGCAATAAGCGTTTTGCGTCTTTTTCTATCTAATAAAGTTTTCGTATTATTACCTCTTTGTCTGGTAAAATAGATAGGTCTATTCCATATCGCATATGAGACTCCATAAGAGAGAAGTACGCCACTCTAGCAGCCTGCTTTCCCAGCTCCTGGGCAAGCTGTATTGTATAACTGGCGAGGCAAGTGATATTTTATTTCTAGCATTGAGTTTAGTTTTTGAAATGCGCCTTATTCTTCTGGTGTATTCTTTTTTTCAAGTTCGCCTTCATTTTCTTGTGTTGCACTTATGGCCATTTGCACAGCTATTACTTAAAGGATATTTAATTAAAGTGGAGCTTTGAATGTGACTTTTGTCCCTACAAGAGTCATATTCAAAGCTCCACTTGGATTAAATATCCCTTAAGCTATAGCGGTGCAAATGGCCGTGCACTTCATTTTCTTGTGTTGCACTCCGTCATGTTCCCGCATTCCTAGATATTTGTACACTTCTTCCTGCTCTAGCGCTTATGGTTGTTGTGTTGCAGAGTTCAATGTGCTGGCAAATTCCATCCTGATATCTTCGCTGGACTTTTGGGTCAGCTTGAGTTGTTTCTTGAGTTCAGTGTCGTTTTTTGCAATAAGCTTTAGATCGTCGACATACAGGAGGTGACTAATTTGTTACTGTTCGCTTTTAAGCCTGTATCCTTTCTCCATTTTGTTTAGCATGGTGCTCAAAGGGAAAAGTGCCATGCAGAAAGGCAGCGGCGAGAGCGAATCTCCCTGGTAAATTCCTTTTTTGATTTGTACATCTCTGATTACTGTGCTTATTATTATTTGCAGTTAGAGTAAGATCTGTATTCCAGTTGGTCATGGATTTAGAGATAAAGTGGAGGAGTGCAGGATGTGCTCGATACATGTTCAGAGTTTCTATTATCCATCTGTGTGGGACACTATCATACGCCTTCTTAAAATCCATCCAGGCTAGAGACAGGTTCTTTCGACTTTCCTTGCAGTCCCTATGTATTGTTCTACTCGTTAGGAGGTGATCCTTGCAGATAAGTTCTTCCTTTTGTTAACCATTTTGGGATGTCATGTTTTTCGTCGAACATGTTGTAAGCTTCCGTTATTATTGGTGTGGATTGAGGATAGTTTTTTCAGCCAAAAATTAGGAATGCCGTCATTGCCTGGCGTTTTCCAGTTTGCTGCTGGTTTTATTGCGTTTTGGAATTCGTCTTTGGTGATGTGCTCCCATATCATTCTTACCAATTTGGCAGTTTCCTCATATTCTTTTTCTATCCATTCAACTTTGCTGTTGTGTTGAGTTTCTTTTTCCCATATATTCTTCCACTGTTTTTCGATGTCTTGTTTACTTGGTGGAGTGTTGGTCTTTGGGTTCTCTTTCAAAATTATGCTGTAAAATTTTCTTGTATTATCTGTAAACATTTTATTTTGTCTATATTGGTTGTTTCTTTCGGTTTTTCGGTTATTTTAACGTGGTCTTGGTGGTTTTTGATTTTGTGCTTCTTGTACATACAGTTGTTTTTTTTATTTCTCTTCCATAGATTCAGTGAGATTAAGTTCTGCTGCTTTTTTCAATCGGGATACTTCTTTTCTTAGGTTACCAATTTGTGATTGTATTCTTCTTTTCCACGCAGGCTCCTCTTCCATTCTTAATGGTTTTTTTTTGCTGTTTGTTGGAGAAACTCGCTCTTGGATCATCAGTGCTACGGTATAGACCAGTTTCTTTATATTTGTGAGAGTTTTATATCTTTCTGGTTCTCTCGTGATGATTTTTGTTATTGCTAAGTTTCCTAGCTATATGAGCTTTTGTACTTTACCGTTATCATTGTTTCTCTGCAGTGGTTCTCTTTGGATATCTGTAGGTGTCGTTTCATCTGCTTCTTTTTTTTTAGTTATTTCTATTATTGTTTTTTCCAGGGGGATGAGTTTCAGATTCTTCTGGTTTGGCTGCTGGAGTCGGTCTTATTGACTTGAGGGTGTTTTCTTCAATTACTTGTTCATGTTTATCCTTCTGACTCTCTTCATGTGCTTCTCCATGTCGGTCATTTTCGTTGTGGATTGTGGATGCGTTCCCGCACTGTCTTCAGTTTCTTGTCTATTTCTGATGCATTCAATTTGCCGCTGTTTAGGATGAATCTTCTCTGTGTTCCAAGGGTATTAGCGTTTAGGTGACGTTTTGAGTTTGGGTTCCTTTCCTTCCAGATTTGAAGTGTTTCCTTCAAGCTCGCTGTGCCCGTTTTGTGGAGAGTGTAGAGGTGACAGCACATTATTTCTTTGTTATCGTCGGTTGTCCATTTGATTCTTTGATTATTTCTTGCGTTTGGTTCTGGTTCCTCTTTTCTTGGATTTACATGGTGGTATTA